AGTACACACCTAACTCTAAACCTAACCATTACCAGTACACACCTAACCCTAAACCTAACCAGAGTTCAGGACCATGTGAGGGTAGGAACGTAAACTGACCGGTAAACAGAGAGCTTTGCCTTACAGCTCAGCTCCCTCTTCACCACAACGGACCGGCACAGAGTCCGCAATACTGCCAACGCTGCACCAGTCCCTCTGTCAATCTCACGCTCCATTCTTCCCTCACTCGTGAACAAAACCCTGAAATCGAAGATGCCTGACCAAAGCTGGCTCTTGGGACAGTGGAGTATGTGTTGGAAAAATGGGCCTTACAAAATACAACACCACACATGTGCGTCCCTTAGTTAGCGCTGGAACAAGACAGATGGACTCGCTGATCTTTGGCTCAGAGTTCTTTGTGATTTCCACAAATACATTCAGAATCTGAGTCATCAGCCCCGAAGACAGATTTCAGTTTGTCTCATTTGACCAGAAACGTTGTCGGGCCCAGATGGGACATTTGTGCGATGAATTATTCTTTTCTTTTGTCTCCTGAACAAATTTCCTGCAGTTTATAAAAAGCTTGTCCATTTGTTTCTTTGTCCCTAGTGTTAGCATAATATCACATGGACCAGAACGCAGATTTTAACAAAGCTCCCAGAAAGTAATCATTGGACATTAATTAAGATGGCTGCCACATCAACGTTAGAAAAGATGATTTGTTGTTAAGTTTCTGGTGTGAAAGGCAGCGGGTGACCTTCATGTCTTCAAGGACAGCAGCGTCTCTCATTAATGTGTCCAGCTGCAGTATCTGAACTTTGCAGCTCAGTTCAGACAGAATAAATGTTTTATTTTTATCTGTTGTTCCTGTTAGTCTCCTGCTTCAGTGTCTTCAGAACGAGCTGAGGAAACATTTACCAACTTTCCTGACAGATCCTGAGCAGCACGCAGCGCCGCCACCAGGTACAGATTTAAACATTTCAATCTGAGAGAAGCTAAAATAAAATAAATTTAAAAAACTTTTGACTTTGAACAGAATTCAGTAGAAGTTTTCTCGTTTCACCTGGTACTTTTAGATTTGAGCCATTTTGCTACTAGTAGCTAAAGTTTTACCTTTAGCTTTTAGTCTCCTTTTAGCGTTCAGCTTATATTTAGAATTTAGCTTGCTGTTTGTTCCTTTAAAATTAGCATTTTGCTCCTTTTAGCATTTAGTTTACATTCTGTTTTAGCTTTTTTTGTATTTGATCAGTTTTTAGCTAAAAATTTGCACCATATTTAGTGTTTTTCAGATTTTAGCTAGCATAGAACTTCTTTTAGCTTGTATTCTGCTCCTGTTAGCTTGTTTAGCTCCTTTTAGATAGGGATTTTGTCCTCCCAGTTTTAGTCTAGCATTTTGCTTTATTTAGCTACATTGTTTTTCAACTTTTACCTTTTGGGTCACAAACATATTGCTCTTTACAGCTAATAGCTAGCATTTGTAAAATTTTCATTTTTAGCTAGTGTTTTGCCACTTTTAACTTTTAGCTTGCATTTTTGCTCCTTTGAGATACTGTTTTATTATTTTAGCTAGCATTTTTTTTACAAACTTTTACATTTGACTTTATTAACTGTTACTTTTTGTTTTATTCTCTTTTAGCTTGTGGTTTGTTTCTTTTAGCTTTGACAGCTTAGTTTCAGCTTCTAGTGATTTTTTTTCCAAGTCGTTCAGCAACATCTAAACTAGAGGATAATCAGTTGGACTTAAAAACCGGATCGTGCAGGACGTCTGGAGTTGTCTTGTGTCTCTGGTTGCAGAGACGGTGCTGAACACCTTGACGAACGCCATGTCTCTGCTTCGCCGCTGTCGGGTCAACCCCGCTCTCACCATCCAGCTCTTCTCTCAGCTCTTCCACTTCATCAGCGCTTGGCTTTTTAACCAGCTCGTCCACCCAGATGCCAAGAGTCCGGGCCTGCGCTCCCATTACTGGGGATGTGTTCTGCAGCAGAGGCTGGCTCCCATCGAAGCCTGGGCCGAGAGGCAGGGCCTGGAGCTGGCTGCCGACTGCCACCTGGGCCACATTGTACAGGTCTCCCTCAGTGAAGCTTTGCGTCACGTGAATGTGTTAAACTTGACTCAAGTGCTGCAAACGTGCCTCTTTTTGAAGAAGGTGTTAAAATAATCCTGCGCGACTCTTTCCAGGCTACCACTCTTCTGACCATAAACAAGTTCTCGCTGTGGGACGCCGAGAACATCCAGAGCGCCTGCTTCAAGCTGAACTCTCTGCAGGTGTGGGTGCTGTTGGATGGCTACCTCTGTGCAACCAATGAGCCTCACATCCCCCCTGTGAGTACTTCCAACCCTCCACCCCCCGTGCAATAACGTTTTATGATTTTTTTCACTTCTCATCGGAGCTTTAGTTGTTTTGTATGAAGTTAAATTGGTCTCAAAAGTATTCACACACTCATGCAATAAGACTGGTGTGCGTACAAGAGGACAGAAATTTTACAAATGCATAAACCGTTGTTCAAATGAGCGCATTTCAATTTGCACAAGTAAAAATAATCAATCAACCTTTATTTAGACAGGTAAATCCCTGGTAAAGGTAAATAATGTGCACATAGAAAATGTGAAATACATGAGAACAAATCAGCTGCTGTTAAGGTAATGTTGCGTTCAAGGCAGGTGAAAAGCTGGGACATCTGAACTTTACTAGATGTACTGAGAAAAGACATTTCTTATATTATGTCATGACTAATAAAGTTAAAACATTCACATACTGTAACATACCTGGATTTAAAAAAAGTTAATTTTAGGGACTGTAAGATTAAAATAACCTAATGTGAGCAGGTTCTTCTTCATATGCAAAAATTATCAGGAAAAATATATATTTTACCAGACAAATATTTTTCCTGGTAATTTTTCCACAAGAATAATAACCTATAATAATTGCTTGTGTTTATTTCAGCAGTACTGTCCACAAAATAAATGTAAAAATTCTGGTTTAAAAAAACTACTGGAAAAATATGATTTCAAATGTTGTGTGTGTTAACTGTGTATTTTAAACTTAAAAGTGTTAAGTTATTCTTCCTCTGCAAAAAAAAAATACAGAAAAATATATTTTCTTGTATTATTTTTTTTTCCACTAGAAGAAAATGTAAATTTTGTGGACTACAGCAGAAATAAACATTAAAAGTGTTGTTATTCTTCTTGTGAAAAAAAAAACAAACAATTTTTTTCCCATTTGTAAAACTCTTGTGGATCTTGTGCACAAACAAACCTTGAATGCTCGTGACTACGTCTGAGACTAATTTATCTTCACAGATGTATGTCCATTTGGCACCATTCGGACTTGATCTTAAAGTTTGCAGTGAGTTTGTTACAGACGCTGCAGCTGCAGAACGTGAGCTCAGCTGTATTGATTTAACAGGATGAATAATTTACAATAATGAATATGATCCTGAATAATTCATGAAGATTAGTGTCATGATACTCTATTGATTCTGACTGAACTACTGCTCATATATTTAGCTGAACATGAACAGAAGGGAACAAATATCAGAGGGCGCCTCTAACAGGTCTGTGGTCAGTCCAGCTGGACTTGGAGACGAGTTTTCCTTCAAAGATGCTCATCGCCGCCCGAGTTATAATCATTTAGAGTTTTTTTATGTTTGTTAACTGTGACAGCCATCTTGAGTTAGACTGGCTCCAAAAGGTGATCCCTTATATAAGTTCATGGCTGGGAAATAGAAATTGTTGCGTTGTTTCATTAAGCACCTGTGGCTTCAACTTTACTGAATAAATATGAATTAATTTTTAGAAAGGTGACATTTATAGTGTATTTCAAAAAAAGTTTTATGGACTATTAAAAGTGTGCAAACATGAACGTCCCCCAACCACGTGACGGAGAGTTTGTTCAGCTTCGGATGGAGCACGTGGCTCTTTGTAGTCCACGAGACGCAGAGATAAACCCCGCCCCCTGCCAGAGTCTCCACTCCGTCCCTGCAGCCACAATCATGAAGACAGCACCACACCCGTCAGCAGACTCCTCTGTGCACGATGTGTGCACGGTCTCCGTTCAGGAGTTTTGGACCATTTCACCAAATTTAGTGTTTTGAAGAGTCGTACGGCTGAATGTCTGAGCGCATTTCTGTATCGATGAACACGCCCACAAACCTCTGACCAGTACACCTGTGAGAACAAGTTCGGTCTGGGCCTTGTGTCGAGAAGGGGCGGAGCTACTCTGAAAACAAAATCACGCCATTTTTGTCATGCAACTGAGACAACGAGAGCCGATTATCGCCGCTTTCAGTGGAGTATGCAGGGCAGGGGGAGTGGTGGCGCGGAGGTTAAAGAAGGTGGGCCTGTGATCGGAAGGTCACCGGTTTGACTCCCCAAACCAACATCGTCAAAATGTGGGTGGGAAAGGTGAAACAACCGCACCCACTCCACCCTTATTTGCCCCACTCTGGGCCCTTGAGCAAGGCCCTTAACCCCCACCAGCTGCTCCCCCGGCCACCCTACCCTCTGCTCCACACAGACGCTGTGGTAGCTCGGTGTCTGTGTTCGTGTCAGGACGGACATCTGGCGTAAACACAAGTGAAGCTTTTGTGCGAGTTAGTTCACTGTGGCGGCCCCTGAAGACGGGAGCAGCCGAAAGAAGAAAAAAGGAGTATGGAGTATAACTACGGCAACAAGAGCCGACTCCGGCACTTCGGCTGGAGTATGCAGGGCCCTCAACCGTTGTACTATAGAGAATATTAATTTAATATATTGAATATATTTTATAATTTAACTGATGTTTTGATACTTTTAGTGTTTAGCTAACTTTTTGCCACTGTTAGCTTTTAGTTAGCCTTTTGCTACTTTTAGATTTTACCCAGCCTTTGCCTACTTTTAGCTTATAATTAGTCTTTTGCTAGTTTTAACTATGGTATATTTTGTTAGCTTTACTTCTACATTCTGCTACTTTTAGCTAGCATTTGTGAGTTTTCAGCTAGTGTTTTGCTTCTTTTGTCTTTTTCTAGTGTTTTGCTCATTTTAGCTTTTAGCAAGTGTTGCGCTGTTTTAGCCAGACCAACTCATTTTTAGCTTTCAGCTGTCAATCAGTGTTAATGCTGTGTTTTTACAGGAATTGTACTTTCTATGTTTGGTGTTTGATCTGTTGTTATTTTAAATAAAGTGCAAACAAATAAATAAATAAACTGCTGGTACATATTTTTCTTGTTCTTTCCCTGAAGATAAAAATATGATCCTTTAACACTAATCAGACAAAGTCCGTCTTTTATTTGGTTCATTTAAAAACTATGAATAAATTTGCCATCAGAGCATTGAGGATGGAGAAAAGGGCAAAAGTCTTCATCCAGCTAGGCTAATGGTTAGCTACACGAAGGCCCTTTTAGTTTTTCAGGTTTATGAAACAATTGTTTGTGTAATTTGTTGCTCTTTTCTCAAACAAAGTCCATGTTTGTGTTAGTGCTCCAGCTGGTGTTAAATAAAACTTTCCTGCCTGTCTGCCTGCCTGCCTGCCTGCCTGCCTGTCTGTCTGCCTGCCTGTCTGTCTGTCTGCCTGCCTGCCTGCCTGCCTGTCTGTCTGCCTGTCTGTCTGTCTGTCTGTCTGTCTGTCTGTCTGCCTGCCTGCCTGTCTGTCTGTCTGCAGGAGTTGATCGATGCTGTGGTCGGAGCTGCTGAGGCCTCGGCAGACGTTCTGATCCAGAGTGAGGGACGGGACGTCCGGCTGGAGGAGAGTCTCGACCTCCACCTGCCGTTCCTGCTGCCGGAGGGGGGGTACTCCTGCGACACCATGAGAGGCGTCCCTCCAGGGTTCCAAGAGTTTCTGGAGCAGATTTGTCAGAAAGGTAGACGTTCTGCTTGACCTCTGATGACCCTGAGATGACGTGTGATTTAGATTCTTTTTTATTTTGTATATTCAGTCATTTTTGTTCTATTTCAACAATTCACGTCTCAAAACGTTCGGCTCATTCACAACATTCCTGCTGCAACTTTTGCTGTTTGTGCAATTTTTACTTTTTTGAAAAATTTAGCCTTTTCAGCCTCATTTTCCTCATTGAAGCTGAACGGAGCTCGCATCGTTCAGACCCTTTGAGCTGTTTACAACCTTTAGCTGCTCATTTCAGCTTTTATCTGCTCCTTTGAACTTCCTTCAGCTAATTTAAGCTTTTTTTTTTTGTTCCCATCAGCTCTTTTCAGCGTATTCTGCTAAATTCAGCTTATTTTCTGTTTTCAGCTACTTTTTATTTGTTTTTGCGAAGTTCCACTTTTTGTGCTTCTTTTTATCATAATTTCATTCATTCGACCTTCATTTATACACATTCTTACTAATAGCTTCAACTTTTTATGCTCTTTTAGCTTCTCTGCTAAATTAAGCCACTTTTTTTAGCTTTTACAGTAACTTTTTTCTAATTTAGGCTTTTTTCTGCTCATTTCAGTTTCTTTTTTGCCAATTTCAGATTTATTTGTGTGATCTTTACAACCTGTCTCTGACGTTTCAGCGTTTTCTGTACATTTCTGCTGCTTTCCGTTTTTATTTTCCTGCTTTCAATAAACTGTTCAAATTCAGCACATATTAACAACTTCGTTTTGAAACCTTTTCAGCAGCTTTCAGCTAAAATCATTCAGCGCTGCACGTTCACAGGAAATGACATTCTCCTGGCGTGTGCGTTACGTGAACTCCTTCCTCCTGCAGGTCTCTGCAGTTTGACACCGCAGCTAAAATCCAAAGGTGACTGGACGGCGTGCTTCAGAGAATTATCTCAAGCTGAGGGCGACACATGTGTGGTGAATAGAACAAATGACGTTTGGTGTTTCCAGATGTGCTGAAACGATGATTTACGTGGAGTTGTTTTCCTTCAGCAGGAAGTCAGCCGACAGCCGGAGGTTGAGACGGTGACGCTGCACAAACCTCTGAACGGCGGGATGGGGATCAGCATCGTAGCTGCCAAGGTGACGCGTTTTATCTGCTCGAACGTGAAAACCTTTTAGTTCGATTCGTCTGTGAGCCGATGGGCACCGACGAGCCTCGGCCTGAACTCCCAACACAACTTTCTAACAATCTAAGCTCAGAAAAAGTGACCAGTTTGATGTGTGAACGGGAAAAGGTGAGTAAAAAGAATAAAGATCAAAAGAAATGTTAAATCTGCTATAGTCGCCATAGTAACCACACGCCTTTAGAAAACCGTTGAATTAAAATATAATCGAAGGCGTGCACTCGTCATTCTGTGGAGATTTAACGGTGAAAATAGAGAAAACATAAACGCCTACTTTTAATGTTTCTTAATTGAAATGAAACGTATTAAATATATATAAAAAATAAAATTTTAACGAAGGTAAATCTGTTCAAAGTAAAACTGTATCTAAAAATAACTGAACGCTTTTAAACAAAACAGCATAAACTTGTAAAGACTTTGGATATCTGAATGTCATCATTTGATTTTTTTCATCATCGTCCAACTTGTTGAATAATTCGACACTCGTTGAAGGCAGGACAGTCTCCGCCCATAAACTGTTAGTCCCACCCACAACTTCTAATCCATTAAAGGTAAATTAATGTAACATACTACACTGAAAGTAAATTAACAAATCATCACTAGAGCCCGACCGATACTGTAATTTTTGGCTAACGCCAATACTGGGAGGGGAGTGCGGCCACCAAGAACAGGTGTACCTGTACCTGTATATCGGCCTAAATTATCAGCACTACCAATACATCGGTTGGGCTCTACATGACACACATCTGCATCGTCACCAGACAGAGTGTCATGTACACTTTTCATCTCCCCAGCTTCAAGGTCAAAAATCAAGGTCAAATGTTATACATCAACTTTCAAATGAACATTTTATGGAATCAAATCTGCAAAAGTATCGAAACTTAACTCTGAATGGGTAAAAATGTCAAAGATAAAAACATTTCAGTCCAGACCAAACCTCACTGATGTCAGGTCGTGGGTGTCGTGACGTTACAAAGGTCATATCTCCGTGCTCCAGATAGAAATACACGTTTGGTGTTTGACTCATGTTTTATTTGAAAGCTGCACAAGGACAGAAGTCTGAACATGTGACAGTAGGGCTGCTGCTTCTCTTCTGCTGTGACGGTCAGCCTCCTTGTTCTGCACAGGGAGCAGGCCAGGAGAACGTCGGTATCTACGTTAAATCTATTGTCAGGGGAGGAGCAGCTGAAATGGTGAGATCCTGACACGCTGTTGGTTCAGCTGCACTCAGATCTTATATTTTATGATTTGACATAAGAAGAGTTTAAGTGAACGCCGTGTGGTCACTGTGTGCAGAGTGGGAGGTTAGCAGCCGGAGATCAGCTGCTCAGTGTGGACGCTCAAAGCCTGGTTGGACTCAGCCAAGAAAGGTGACCGCATGACTGCACGTGTAACACTCACATGTGCACGTGTTGTCTGTACCATCCCTTAAACCCAATAAATACGTAACACAGTCTACAACTGATGAAGTTTTGGTGACAACCCACATCGAGACGGTCAAATGGTTCAAACTGGGATTTATTTTAGATTTAGAGATCAAATGTAATGTGGTAGTAGCAGGAAGTTACTGGGTTTATTTCACGTGCCACATGTTTATTTTGACATAAATTCATCATCTAAATATTTAAAAGTCAATTTCACTGAACAACACACAAAGGAACACACATGCACGCACATATAGATTTATTTTTAAACTTTTCAGCTTCCCACGGGTTTCTTTTCACTATGGGAAGATAAAATGTGAGGGGCTATGATAAAAAATATGAGGGTCTATGATAAAAAATATGAGGGTCTATGATAAAAAATATGAGGGTCTATGATAAAAAAATATGAGGGTCTATGATAA